AATGTTGTAAAATGCGGATAATATAGCCATGCAAAGTTTGCCGTTTTTCAGTCATTTTGTATTACGCACGGGAAATTGACAGCCCAATCGGGTGTTGGGGCATCAATTTCCCGTTTGTAATACAAAATGACTGAAAATTGCAAATTTCGCAAGGCTATATTATCCGCATTTTACAACATTTCGCAACGAAATTTTGGAATATTACTAATTTTGTGATGCTCTTTCAAGCTGTGATGAAATTTTTGTCTAGATCAAAATTTAGTCTATAATGCAAATGGTCCATTCGCCTTTATCCATATTTGCGTACCAGTCGTCACACATTTGTATCAGGGCACTCAGAGTCGAATTTTTAGGTCGAAAACCTGCCTGATATTTGGACAGCAACGTATTTTCATTAATTAAGATATGTATATACCGGATTAAAAATACGTCTCTCGAAAATTTTACTAATAATTGGCAATATTGAGATTGGCCGATAATTTTCGCATTTGCGTTTGTCATCTGATTTTTATAATGTGCATGCGTGTCAAGTAATATTAAGCCTATGTTAATTATCAGCTTGTATTAAGTGACAATATTACAATAACAATATAAATGGTTTATTCACATATCTTGAAATCTAAAGTTTATCAATAATCGCGGACGCATAACTATGGTTCATCGTTTGCTGTTCGCGGTGGGTTATCATCCTCACTGATCTCAAAATACAGTGGACTGTCATGAATAGCGAACACTGATCGGTCAAACTTATACTGATTTCCATTGTAACGACTGCATGACGACAGCGAAATAACAAACATTTCTAACTTATTACTTATTTTTATTTCTCAAGGATATATACCGGGTGTCCCAAAAAAAAGTACTCCGGTTTGACTTGTAATAACTTCTAAACAAGTAAAGCTATCAAACAGAAATAACTTGCATTAAATAGAGGAAGGACTAACTTAGATTTGATATATTACAGTTGTATTTCACTTAACAATTCACGGAGATATTAATGTTCAAAATCGGGAGCATAT